GGGGAACTGCGTTCCCCCGCGATCCCCCCCGAAATGACCTCTGCGTGTTTTAACAGCATCCACCAACTGACCAAAGTGTTCTGCTTCCTGATGGGTGGTTCACCCCCACCCCCCCACCCTCTAGCCATGCAACGGGGGGGAGGGCACCCACTGGCTCAGAGACCAAGAGAATGTCAAAACTTGCTGATGGGTCATGGCCAGTGTTCCCTCTAAGCTGAGTGAGTGTGAGCCAGCTCACAGTTTTTTTAGTCTCCGGCTCACACCTTTTTTTGTCTCCGCTCAGGCAGGATGGCTCCGGAGCAAACTAACTTCTGCAGCAGCCCAATCGCTCGCTCGCAACTTTAATGCCGTTAGCTCACAAAGGAGAATTTTTGCACACAAGACTCCATAGCTTAGAGGGAGCATTGGTCATGGGTCTTTGTGGTTTGCGGCAAATTAACTTTTGGGTAGAGGGCCCTGGTGGGGATTTACCAGGAACACTGCTGATGCAGGTCAGGATTCGAACATCCCCTTTGAAAGCTATTTATTCCTGTGGGCTCTTTTTGTAGCAGGTACTCATTTGCATATTAAGCGACACACCCCTAATGTAGCCAATCCTCCAAGAGCTTACAGTAGCTCCTGTACAGTAGCCCCTGTAAGAAGAGCTCTGTAAGCTCTTGGAGGATTGGCTACATTAGGGGTGTGTGGCCTAATAGGCAAAGGAGTCCCTGCTACAAAAAGAGCCCATCCTGGCAGCGAATTCCACATTACAACCACTCTCTGTGTAAAGTGGTATTTTCTTTTGTTCGTCCTGAACCTACTGCCCATCAGCTCCATTGGATACTCTCCAGTTATCTTTGTCCACTCTCTCTACCCCGAGCGTAATTTTATGAACCTCTATCACGTCCCCCCCACCCAAGTTGTCCCTTTTCTAAACTGAAAAGTCCCAGACGCTTCAGCCTTCCCTCCTAGGGAAAGGGCCGCCAACCCCCTCATCCTCTTGGTCGCCCTCCTCTGCCCTTTGTCCGGCTCTGCAATGTCCTTTTGAAGAAGAAGAAGAAGAGATTGGATTTATACCCCGTCCTTCATTACCCAAAGGAGTCTCAGAGTAGCTGACAGTCTCCTTTCTGAGAGAACTTGTGACTGACCCAAGGCCACACCAGCAGCTGCATGTGGAGTGGGGAATCACACCTGGTCCTCCCAGATTAGAGTCCGTGCTCCTAACCACTACACTAAACTCTCTTTTGGAGATACGGTGACCGGAACGGTGAAGAGTATTCCAAATGAGGCCGCGCCATAGATCTCTACAGAGGGCATTACAATACAAAGGTAAAGGTTCCCTTGCTTGAAAGCCAGTCGAGTCCTACTCTAGGGTTGCGGTGCTCGTCTCCGTTTCCAAGCTGAAGAGCCAGCGCTGTCCGAAGACATTTCCGTGGCCATATGGCCGGCATGACTAAACACCAAGGCGCACGGAACGCTGTTACCTTCCCACCGAAGTGGCACCTATTTATCTACTTGCAGTTTCTTGCTTTCGAACGGCTAGGTTGGCAGGAGCTGGAACCAGAGACGGGAGCTCACTCCGTCATGCAGCACCCAGGTCTCGAACTGCTGAACGACTGACCTTCCACAGCCTGCAGTTCAGCGTCTTAACCACTTGAGCCACCGCAGCTCCTGTCTTTTGCAGCATTACAATATCGGCCGCTTTATTCTCAAACCTCTGGCTCTCTCTCTCTCCAAGGCCTGTAGGAACGTGGCCCAGCGTACCGCTGAGGTGCAATTTACATCCTGGAAACCCCCACGGTGCTAGGAAAAGTGGAAGGCAGCAGGAAGAAAGGAAGACCCAACGGGGGATGGACGGACTCAACCACGGAAGCCAGGGCCCTCTGTTTGCAAGACCTGAGAATGGCTGTTAAGCATAGGATGTTTCGGAGGACATTAATTCATAGGGTCGCCATGGCAGAGGCAACTTGATAGCAGTTAACACTCACACATGACTCTGCCGGCTGCCGAGCTGAAGGGTTGATCCCCCTAACACAGTGGTGGCGAACCTATGGCACGGGTGCCAGAGGTGGCCCTCAGCGCCCTCTCTGTGGGCACGCGTGCCATCGCCCCAGCCAGGCCCAGACCATCATTAAAGTGTCGAATTCTCTGCCAAATAATTTTAAGTCAATGAAAGCATTTGGGATTGCTTTCCTTACTATGTTTGGATCATCTTAAATGAATGGTTCATCCCACATCTATCTACTCCTTTTTTTATCCAACTCTACCGCCATAGAGATCAGTGTGCCTCGCCCATTATATTCCCACAACAGCCCTGTGAGGTAGGACAGGCGGGGAGAGATTATGGTCAGTTGAAGGTCAACTTTCAAAGAAACTTTTCACTCACTGAGTCACGGTTAAAGAGGATCCTGTATTCCAAGCAGGTGTTTGGAGTGGCTCGCATTCATAACAACACGCACAGCCGCAGCTGAGAGCACCACAGCTTTCAGCAAATGCTATGGCCAAAGTGCGGCTCCTTGCACTAAGACGTCTCCTCTTCTGCCCCTTCCCCAGCCTTCCGGACCATCTGGTTTGTAACCTCGAACCCGAAGCTGTGAGCCCACTCAGCCAGAACGATGCACTGACCCTGGCGGAGAGGATCAGCAAGAACTGCGTGATAACCCACAGGAAGTGCCCGAAGACTGGGGAGAAACGGATGCTCCCTTTCCAGGTGAGCATCACAGCTGGACCTGGTGCTGGGGGTATTGTAATTCTTCGTGCAAGAGGATCTGGGAGGGAAAGGGTTAAGAGCAGTATTCCCTCTAAGCTGAGTTAGTGTGGGCTGGCTCACAGTCCTTCAGCCTCTTGCTCACACATTTTTGTCTTATCTCAGGAAGGATGGGCTCCAGAGCAAACTAAGTGATGCAGGAGCCAAATGGCTCGCTCACACAACTTTGATGCCAGTCGCTCACAAAGTAGAATTTTTGCTCACAAGACTCCACAGCTTAGACGGAGGATTGGTGAAGAGAATTCTCTCACTCGGGTACACTCAGCAGTTGACCCCAATCCTCTCATTGGTTAGGTTAGATGTTGAGCCTCTTTGGCCCTTGCTTGCCTTCTGTTTCATCTTATCTAGGACTTCTTTTCTTCTCTCTCTTACCTGGGCTGTAGCTGTAGTAGGGTTGCCAAGTGTGAATTGAGTCGCAGCGGGGGACTCCTGGATGGTGGTTGGATCGCCTGCGCTTTGCGCGCGCGCCGCACATCCACGTCACCCGGAAGTGACCCGGGCACGCTGGGGCGGGGCCACGACCATCCGAGGGAAAAACATAGAGTTTTCCCTCGGATGACCGTG